ATTCCACTGATTCCTAGGGCCGTCTTTTTTTATTTTCCAAGTCCTTTAAAGCAGCTTAAACATCCTCCTCCTTCATCACCATAGGTTCTTGAATATAAGTTGTTTCGTTAAATACATCTTTGCCAGCCAGTTCTTTTGGGTCCAGTGACTCTGTTCTCCTTTCGTCGTCTTTGATGCTCCCTGGATGATTCAATATCCTTAGTCCACGTCCACCTTGAGACCTGAATTTGTTCCTCAGTTTCTTCAGCTTAAGAAATGCTGAGCAAGTCCATCCCGTTTTGCTTGTTCCACACCATCTCTTGGCACATCTCATTATAATACTTGGCTCTGTCTTCCCAAGCTGCTTTTTGAAACCTTCTGTTGAGCTCTTTCAACTCCTGATGTCTTCCCTGTGCCTTGGCTTCTCGGCGCTCTGCTGCAATATTCAGAGGACTCTCTTCTGACATCCGTTTTGGCCTTTTCTTCCTTCTTTGCTTTTGTAATGACCTTTTGCATTCTTCATAGATATTCTTTCTATTCTCCCTCAGCTCATCTGGCCTTACATTATTACTGTTCAAGGCCTCAAATCTCTTCGTGAGATGGCTTTTTTTTAATTCAGGCGGGATAGACTCAAGGTTCTTGAGTCTATTTTGGTTCTTGTGGATTGGATTGGATTTTCTTTAGCTTCAGTTTGAACTTGCATACAAATAGTTGATGGTCTTTTCCACAATCCACACCTGGCCTAGTTTTCAGAGCTGATACTGAGCTTTCCAAGAATTCTTTGCACAGATATAGTTAACCTGATTCCCGTGCAGACCATCAGGTGCAGCCCATGTGAATAGTCACCACTTAGGTTTCTTATAAAATGTATTTGCAATGAATAAATCATTGACGGTACAAAATTCTATCATTTTATCTCCAGATTCATTTCTGTCACCAAGCCCATGTTTTCTGGCAAGCAAAGTATTATAATGGAATGTGCAAAGAGCTGGAAATGGAGAATAAAAAGGGGAGAATTCACTTCTGTGACCAAGCCCACGTTTTCTGACCCTTCTCCATTCCCAACTTTTGCATCCCAGTCATTATTGGCGCATCCTTGTTCCATATTCAAGGGATTTCTGACTGCAAAAGTTGGTAGAAATTGTCTATTTCCTCCTATTTGGATCTGGTTGTTGGTGCACGTATTTGATTGATGGTTGTCTTAAAAGATGTGAAAACCAATGTATACAAACTTTATGAACTTTGTATGTAAACCAGTACAAAATTTTTAAAAATCAGTAAAAAGGGGTTGAAAGGTGTTGCTTGTATGTGTATAGATATTATCCTGTCACTCACAATATTGTATTTCAAGATGGATCTGGAAATGGTATTTTTAACTATGCATGTTCCCCTTTTTATTACCTTTTTATTTACATATTAGATCATATTATTGTCCAATTTAAAATGTTCCATGCCAATCCATCTTATTTCACCAACGCTTTGGTGTTGTTATTAGGTGCCATCAAGTCAAACACGACTCTTAGCAAACCTATGAACAAAAGATCTGAACCTGTTCTGTCCTGCGCCATCCTCACACTTTCTGACACACAAGAGCCTATTACAGCAGTCACCGTGTCAGTCCAGCTGGTTGAGGGGCTTCCTCTCCTTCACCAAGACTCCCCTCGCCCCAGCATCATGTCCTCCAAGGAATAGCGTCTCTTTCCAAGATGCCCAAAGTATGTGAGGTGAAGTCTCATCATTCCTGTCTCCAAAGAACACGCCAGCTGCACCCTCTCCCAGACTTAGCTGTTTGTTCCGTTGGCTGCCGAGGGGATGGATGTTCAGTGCTCTTCGCCAACACCACAGCTCAAATGTGTCAGTTCTTCTTCCTTCATCCTTATTTTCCCGCTCTCAGACGCAGAGCAAGTGATCAGAAAGACTATGAACCAGATGCACCTCATTCCTCAAAATGACACCATTACTCCTTAATACTTAATCCCTAGCTGCAGATTTTCCCAGTGCAATGTGTCTCCTTGTACACCAATGGTTGACAACCCAATGAGTTGTCTTGGGATATTACCCATGAAGAAAGAAAAAGGTCATTACAAGAACAGAGGAGGGGGGGAAATCAAAATGGAGGTTACAAGAGACTCTAACAATTGCACTGGAATGCTGAGAAGCCAAAACAAAAGGAAAACATACCGAAGTTAAAGAGCTGAACAGAAAATTGCAAAGGGCAGCTCGGGAGGACAAAGCAAAGTATTATAATGGGATGTGCAGAGAGCTGGAATTGGAGAATGAAAAGGGAAGAACTTGCTCTGCATTCCTTAAGCTGAGAGAATTGAAAAACAAATTTAAGCCTCATGTTGCAATATTGAAAGATGCTATGGATAATATATTAGATGATACAGAAAGCATCAAAAGAAGATGGAGGGGATACAGAGTCCCTGTATCAGAAAGAACTGATGGACACTGAAAAATTTCAGGAAGTATCATATGAACAGAAGCCAATGGTAATGAAGGAGGAAGAGGAAGTTGCATTGACGGCATTGGCAAAAAATAAGACCTTAGGAATCTATGGAATAACAGTTGACCAACGCCTAGTATATCAATATTTATGCATTCCATTTCTCTCTTAAAAACATCCAAGTTTCCAACATTCATGCTTCTCCCATTCCATATTCTAATCACTAGTGTCTACTTGCAACTTTCTCTTCCTTTGTGTTTGCCACCTGCAAGGCTCAGCCGTTTCTGGTAGTCTAACCTAAGTGTGTTCTATTGTACACAGGGTTTTCAAAGGGCAGTTATTCTAGAAGTGGATGGCCTAAAAATGGTATTAAATATTTCCAGCTTATGAGTTTTCTTTAACCAAGAGACAGCTATCTTAGTTGTTTGCTTAGTTTTTATCTTACATCGCTGGAGAATTTGTTTGGAAAAAGTCAAACTGTATTGTTGCCTCAGATGTTTAAAACATTTACAGAGATAGGTCATTATTATCATCGCAGAGTCAAACAAGCAACACAAATGTTTTAAGTGTGTTTACCAACACATTTGATATTTTTATCCCTAATATTACCCAGGGTGGACAGTGTTTAGTGGCGCTCCCCGATTAAAACAAGCTTGGAAGCAGGAGTGGCATCCACTTCCGAAATGGCTTGCCTCCAGAAACACTATGAACTGTGCTCAGGTCTTTCATTCATAAGGTTGCTAAGAGTCGTCTACGACTCGACAGCACTTAACAACAATAACAGTGTTTATCAAGCCATATATAAATTTACTTTAAAGTTTAAGAAATCCACTCTGATACACAATTGTGTAACTTATCTTTTAGTCTGTAGAATGGAAGTATTTTGATATTTTAAAGTCTCACGATCAGGGATTTACAGCCTCAGGTTTCTGAAGATGAAGACTTTGACTTTCAAAAAGTAACAGTAAATATGAGTGACCTGGAAGGAACAGGAATGGCAGAAGATACCAGAGGCAGAAGCAAAATTGTTGCAATTTTAATATGAGCCATAAACTTGCCAAATATATGTATCTGTATATTTCTATTTTAAAAGTAAACATTTTTAGAATGTTAAAGAAAAAAAGAGCTGGATGGCCAATCCTCTCTAGTTTGCCTTCATTTAGACATTCAGTTATAGAGGTAACATCAGCCAGCCAAGCATTTTACCCAGAAGAGCACTTTCTCCTAAATATGAATTTGACGATTTTATAATCATTGTTGTCTTCTTTACCAAGCACTAAAATTTGTCTTGATTTTTAGAGAAAGTGAATTCCTCCCCCGTAGTGGATCGAAGTAGCAAATAAACATGTTTGTGGGAATCTATTAATAGTTGCTATGTGCCATCACTCACCTGTCACTCATAGCGACCCTATCTATGTACAACAGCCCTAAACCGGGCTCTGTCCTGTGCCAACCTGTCTCTGACACACCCATCCCATTACCACAGTCACTGAATTCATCTGTCTCACCAAGGGTCTTCCTCTCCTGCGCTGTCTCTCCACCCTCCCAAGCACGATGTGGACTCCATTTTATAAAGTCCCAAATACCAATACATTCACGAAGGTTGGCAATCCTTAAAAATTTGAACCATTTTATGCCAATACATTTGACAACTAAGAGGGGGGGAAACCCAACAATTATCCATTAAATTATGTCTCTTAAAAATAAATAAATAAACATTTGCACCAGAGTCAGTTTCAAAAAGGATCATGGTAGCTGTCATGGGCCCAGGGTAAAGAGCAAAAAAGCTGCAGTGTGCAGGCCAGGAGATCAAAGCAGAGCTGGAATTTTAACTTAAGCTGGATTCCATTTCCATAGTATTTTTTTGAGGGAGTTCCTTTTACATAAGCATGAGTGTAGACAACTCTTCACCAATACAACACCTTCAGCTCGACCCCAGACTCATAGCTGACCCTTCACGGGCTTTCTGAGACACTAAGAGCACAGAAGGAGATTGCCCATCTTTCTCCCGTGACCACAGATGGCTCCAACCACCAGAGAAGTTCAGCTTCCTACTGGTAATGCCACCAGAGCTCCTATCCGATACATTGACAATGTACAAAAACACTTAACTGCTTTGTTTCACCTCCCTTCTCCTCTCCACCCTGCTTCCTTTAAATATCGTGAAAGCCCAGCTCAACAGTCATACCAAGTGCCACCTGTTCCTTTAAATAGATCTCAAAAACTCCCATGGAATACATTCTGCTTCATAGTGACCCTTCCTCAGATTTCTGAGACTGTAAATCTTTCTGCATTGAATCTGCCCATCTTCCTTTCCGACAAGAGCCGGCAGATTCGAACTGCCGGAGACAGGCTGTCCTTGGGTTAACAGCACAACTAACTGTGACCTCTGCCCCCAGAGGAGGAGTATAGACACGTTTCTCAAGTGGCAGAAAGAGAGATTTCACTGTACCTGAGACCATCACTTCAACTGTGGAGATCAGAGCACGCCTGACTTTGATCTCCAGCGAAAGGTCCGAAAGGTCCGTCTCGGATGCTTGGCTCTAACCGGTGTTTCCTTCTGCCGTGGGGCTAGGGGAGTTTCCGGGCCTGCTCAGGTGTGATGGGGAAATTGCAGTACGCGAGCCTCCTCAGCCAGCTGCAGAGAGTGAAGGAGCAGGCGCAGGTGGTCCATCAGGCCATGGCCGAGCTGGCAACCATCCCCTACCTGCAGGACATCAGTCGGCAGGAGATGGACGTGGTAAGTAGGGGGTGTCCTTTGTCTGAGGCTTCCACAGGGCCTGAGCCAGAGGAAAAGTGGTCTGGTTTAGGGTAGGAGAGAGGGAAATTATAATAAATGCAGTCTGAAGGCAAACTCCCCAATCCACATGGAGAAGTCTAATGAAGAAATAGGAACACACGTGTGTGTGTGTGTGTGTGTGTGTTATTTGCTCACATTGGCTCACTTTCCTTTTTTTTCACAGCAAAAATTTGACAATAGGATAAACCATAAAAGAGGGACTGATTTTTCATGTTGTGTGTCACACTTATTTCTATTTGAACAGAAGTGAAATTTTGATGAATTATGCTTTTAACTCCCGAATATGTTAGTATGCAAGATTGTCTCCCATTTTAAGAAGTGACATGATTAAAGGGTATTTAGTGGATAGAAAATGATCCTACAAAACAGTCTTTAGAATTTTCTCGCTTGCTTCGGATGTCACTACATATACTCACACTGCCAACACACAAGTACACTTTATGAGAACTGTACAACACACAGCTCTTTAAAGGAAACATTCTGCCTATCATTTCTTTGGAGGTGTTTTTTACCATTAGACAAAGCCAGTCACAATCTTCGCATAGATGTAGACAATTTAATTATAATTAATACTAGAAATGCTGGCAACTCATTTAAAAAATCATTACAAAACAGTGAACTGGCCATCTGAGGAAAGGTAAAGTTTGGTCCATCTTGAGATCCTAAAGTATATTGGAAAAGAGCCTTACACGTTTGCGTCTTTAATTGAGGTTACCTAAAACTAATTATAGACTTGAATTGAATTCAAATAGCAAGGATGAGAACAGCCCAAACGGATCACCTGTAATTTTCAGATAACCAAAGGAATCCTCCCTTGTTGAACCTTGAAAGAATGTTACAAATTAATCAATCAAGAAATGGACTGCCAACATTTTAATGTTCATCGAAACCTGTTAAAGGATATTAAACAAGTATGGGTATCACAATGAGAATATTAAATGGTCTGACTAGCCAACTAATAAAATCATGCCAACTGACGATTAAAAAGTCTATTAATCAGAGAATCACTAAGACTGGCAATAAGAACTTTCTGAACCTTTATGGTTGTGTGCCTAAGAACGCCTTCTCCGAGGCAGTGTTTATGCTACCATTCATAAGGTGTTCAGGAGTGCAGTAAGCATAGGCTTTTAAAGTGCATATTACAGCCAATTTTAGATGATTAACTCTCTCTGAGATAAGAGGAAGTGAAGAAAATGCCCGTTTAAGAAGCCAGCAAGATGTTGAGGCTGCCTGTCTAACAAGCACCCTCTGGACTTAAATGAAAGATACTGGGGAGCTCTGTGCACTTAGGGCTTCTAACCCAACAGGTCTGTTCATGTCGGTAGCCTTGGCTTTCTTCAGGGAATACTTATATTTCAAAACATACACAAAAGGGACTCAATCAACATGACAGACAATCCTTAGCAACACATGCAGCATTCTGCTATCTAAAACTTTGTCAAAAAGAGATTTCACAGTATATTGTCATAATTTATTATAGACATGCTTATCAGAAGAAACATTTAAATGGATTTACATATACAGGACAAACATTTCAAAATCATGTATGTTACACGTTTTTCTCTTCCAAACTGCTAAGCAAAGATGAACAGGGCAAGGGCAGTGCGGCAGGAGGAAGAGGGATCTGAGTGGGGCCTTGTCAGGTGCTATGGAAGCGGTGACAGGTCAGTAGAAGAGCCTTGAGTGACTCAACCCTCTGCTCTCCTGTGTAAACTCTGCCGTATCTGGATCCCAGGAACATTATCTGAGGCTCCCCACACTTCAATGTCACGGGAAGCTGAACTGGTACCGGGCAGAATACTCTTTGCTACCCTTAGATATCACACGGTTTGGGGCAATTTCATTAATTTACAGGTGTATATGTATTGTGTGCATTTGTTGTTGTTGTTGTTGTTACGTGCTGTCGAGTTGCTTGTGATTCATAGCGACCCTATGTAAAACAACCCTACACCCTGCTCTATATCTTGCCAATCTTACTGTCTCTGACACACCTATGTCCGTTACCCCAGTGGCCTAATCAATCCATCTCATCGAGGGTCTTCCTTTCTGTCCCTCCACCCTCCCAACAACATACACACAATATAACTCTGTTTTATATTAAAATATGGCAGATGTGTGTTCAGGCCAAAAGATATATATTAGATTTTTTGGAAACTTTTTTAAAATCTAGGAACAGAATCGCCGAGAAGCCAAAGTTAAAGGAAGAAATCAAGAAATCAAAGAGCTGAATAGAAAATTTCAACAGACAGCTCGGGACAACAAAGCAAGATACTATAATGAAATGTGCAGAGAGCTGGAGTCAGAAAATCAAAAGTGCCGGACTCGCTCAGCGTTTCTTAAGCTGAAGGAGTTGAAAGACAAATTCAAGCCACGGGTGGCAATACTTAAAGATAGTTTGGGTAGAATGTTGAATGATCCAGGATGTATCAAAAGAAGATGGAAGGAGTACAGAGTCACTGTATCAGAAGGAATTGGCTGACACAGAGGAATTTCAAGAAATAACATATGAGCAAGAACCTATGGTGATGAAGGAGGAAGTTCAAGTTGGTATGAAGGAATTGGCAAAAAAACAAGGCTCCAGGAGTTGACTGCATACCAATTGATTTATTTCAACAAACAGACGCTGCCCTGGATGTGCTCACTAAGATGTGCCTGGAAATCTGGAGGACAGCCAGCTGGCCAACTGACTGGAAGAGACCGATACTTGTTCCCATTCCAAAGAAAGGTGACCCAACAGAGTGTGGAAATTATCGAATAATATCATTGATATCACATGCAAGCAAGATTCTACTGAAAATTATCCAAAAACATTTGGAACAATATGTCAACAGAGAACTTCCAGATGTGCAGGCTGGATTTAGAAGAGGTTGTGGTACTAGGGATATTATAGCTAATGTAAGGTGGATCTTGGCAGAAAGCAGAGAATACCAGAAGAATGTCTATCTGTGCTTCATTGACTATGCAAAGGCTTTTGATTGTGTGGATCACAACAAGCTGTGGCTGACTCTGAGAAGAATGGGAGTCCCAGAACATTTGATCGTGCTAATGCAAAACCTATACTTGGACCAAAAGGCAGTCGTCAGAAGAGAACAGGGAGACACTGGATGGTTCAAAATCAAGAAAGGGGTCCGTCAGGGATGTACTTTGTCTCCATACCTTTTCAATCTGTATGCAGAACAGATCATCCGAGACACTGGGCTGTACGAGGAGGAATGTGGCACCAGGATTGGTGGAAGAATCGTCAACAACCTGCATTATGCAGATGACACAACTCTGCTTGCTGAAACTGAGGAGGACCTGAAGCATTTGCTACAGAAGGTCAAGGACAACAGTCTTCAATATGGATTGAGGCTCAATATCAAGAAAACAAAGATTCTCACTGCTGGGCCAAATGGCAGCATCAATATGGATGGTGAAGAGATTGAGGTAATTAACAGTTTTAGTTTACTTGGCTCCACAGTCAACACTCTTGGTAACAGCAGCCAGGAAATCAGGAGACGAATTGCATTGGGAAAGTCAGCTGTGAGGGATCTCTCAAGAGTACTGAAGTGCAACGATGTCAGACTGGAAACTAAGGTGCACCTGATCCAGGCTATAGTCTTTACAATTATGTGCTATGCATCAGAGAGTTGGACAGTGAATAGGGATGACAGAAAGAGAATTGATGCCTTTGAGTTGTGGTGCTGGAGAAGAGTGTTGGCTATACCATGGACTGCTAGGAGAACAAACAGGTTTGTCCTGGAAAGGGTGAAACCAGAATGTTCCCTGGAGTCAAGGATTCTGAAGCTTCATCTCACATACTTTGGGCATGTTGCAAGGAGGGACTGGTCCTTGGAGAGGGACATCATGTTTGGGAGGGTGGAGGGACGGTGCAGGAGAGGAAGACTCTCGATGAGATGGATTGATTCTGTGAGTGGAGTGGTGGCAATGAATGTGTTTGAAATGGCGAGGTTGGCAAAGGATAGAAGAGCATTTAGGGCTCTTGTACATATTGTCGCTATGAGTCGCAAACGACTCGATGGCACATAACAACAACACCAACAATGTGCCTTCAAGTTGGAATTGACCCATACATAGCTCACCCTTCAGTGTCTTTTTGGAGGTAGTGAATTGTTTAGGAGGAGATTCCCCTTATTATTCTCAAGAAGCAGCCACTGGATACGAACTCCATGCCTTTGGGTGGACAGTGCTATTTCATACCCACTGTGCCATGAGAGCTCTCTAAAAATAGAAGAGGATTTTACAAATCTTTCTTATTTTGGATTTTTAGATGAGAAAAGAATAGTAAAAGAACTTAAATTGCATAGATCCTTTAAAAGGCAATAAACAGCACAATTTAAGTATTGTCCTCTGCTGAGCTTTTGCAAAAATTATGATACATTAGCCTCAGGAGAAAATATGAAAATATGCGTATGTACTCCATGCCATTTCCTGGGAGAATTAACTACCCCCTTCATTCTTTACAACCCAAAACTGTTCTAACAAAACATCCCCTCTTATGACGCAAAAATCTCTCTGTTTTGTGCAAATTTTCCAGAAGAATCTTTTCCCTGTCTCCGTATTTTATTTCTGCAATAACATTCTGTAATGACTGAAGCAGCAATGAGGTGGCAGCGTTCGTTGTCAGAAAGATGAGTAATAAAACCATCAGCGTACAAATGATTTTTTAATTAGGTTTTAATCTGCGTATTTAGAGAAGTTATTTCTGTGCGAATTCCACACTGATAACTTTTATCTTGGTGCCACAGCTGCAGTCACTAATGGCAGATGCGATGGACACCCTTGAAGGAAGAAGAGATAAAGAACGTGTGTGGAATACAGTCCAAAAGGTACAACTTCGCGCTGAAGGGAGGGAGGTGCAGCTTTCTCAGGGAAAAGGTTCATCTTGGGTCAGATCTGGTTGGAAGGTGAAAAAAAGTTCTTCCAGTTGGTGTTTGGGATGTTTGCTCATTTGTATTGGTTTTGTGGTAATAAAAGTAGCACCCGTTCCCCAAATGTAGCCAAATCAAATAGGAATGTATTTCCTCTGGCATATGAGGGCATTAAGCTTTGGGAGATGGAAAGATATCCAAAGCGGAAATGAAAACGCCTCAAGTCCTGGACAGAAGAATAAGTAAAGATGGAGGGTTAGTGATGATTAACAAATTAATGTGGATTAAGAAATTCATGTTAAAATCAGTAGAGTGGCAGACATGGCAAAGTGTATATGTTCTTGTGTGCCATCGAATCAGAACCAACCCTTAGCTGACCCTCCAGCAGGTTTTCAGAGCTGCAAACCACACAGAAAGAGATTACCCGTCTTTCTCCACTAGAGCAGCTGTTGGATTTGAACCACTTATCTTTGGACTGGCAATGCAATTTCTTATCCACTAGGCCACTCGAACTCCCTAGGAATGAGTATACAGAGTAAAGGGGGGGGCGTGTGAAGAGCTCTGCAGAGCAGATTTAAAGCTCACTAATAGATGCCTTCTAGCTGTCTATGAAGGAATAGCCAGAGATTGAAGCTAGAGGTCAACCAAATCCAATGTTGATGAATGTGAATCAATATGATCAATATCTCTGCTGACTACAGAAATAATTGTTTAGAGCAAGGGTCGGTATACTATGACCTATGGGTCACATCCTACCCATCAACTGTTTCTGTAAATGAAGTCAATTTAAAACAACCACGCACATTCATTTACATACTGCCCAGATTGGATTGAAGCAGACTTAAGCATTTGCCACCAAGACATTCAGCTCATCGAGCCTAAAATACTTACTCTCTGATCCTTTATAGGGAAAATGTGCAAATTCTGGTTTACGTGACTAACCTACCCAGACATACTTGCATTTGTGTAGTTAATAAAATCCTTTTCTGGCGATAATGGAACATCTGTCTAATTTTGAAATCCCAGGGATCACCCAAAGGTAAAACAAAAATTACATCCCTTTTCATTATTCCCTGAAATCACATCATGTTGAAAACCTGAGATCAACAGTTCAAGCTGATGCTTTTTGATGCCCCCATTGACAGGAAGATGCAACCTATGGTTTTTCACATTGCATTTCTCCTGGTTATTTCTGTGTAGTGGACCACCCCAAATTAGTCGTTTAGAACAAAATCCAATGTTTTTGTCATAGCTCTAAGAATTGTTCTTGCTTAAATCTATTTAGGTTGCTTTTGCTTAAAACCTCTGTGTAGTTCAAGCAGATAGATGGCTCTGTGCGCAGAGCTGGAGTCTTCTGAAGGATGAACTGGACTGAGTGTCCAAGATGGCTCCCTCACAAAGGTGATACGTGAGGCCAGTCAGTCGAGGCAGGTGACCTGAATGTCTAAATGTGCCCTCTCCTTGTAAATTAGACTTCAAATGACAGGGTCACTGAATTCTGGGAGGAAGGATTTCAAGAGAAAGGAAATGAAAACCACCAGGCTTCTCAAAGACTAAGCCAATAAGTGGTGTAAAAAAATTCCATTGGTCAAAACAGTCACAGGCCAGCCCAGATTCAAAGTGTTGGAGGAATAGATTCCCCGTCACTGGAGGAGTGACACGTGCAATCACAGAGAGGAAGAGGTGCTAATAACCATCCTGGAAACAAGACAAGACACAGACTAGTTAGAGGCAGGAAAGCATATCTGCAAGCAGGCAGGAGTCAGGAGGTCAGTGAAGTCAGGACCTCCCTGACTGGAGCACTGCAGAGTCAGTCTCCCCACCCAACCCCCGGGTGCCTAGAGCAACTCGCTGAGGAGCAGCCACCCTTCCCAAATGAAAAGCCCTGGTAATGATCTTAGCTTCTAAATGGAAACTCCTGAGAGGTCTTTAGGAGGATGTGAATGGGAAGGCACAGGGTGCCAAATTTTTCCCAAGGGCTTTTAATTTGGTTAATGTGACTCTACAAAGGAAGATTGTATCACTTTCAGAAAATTCCGGTAGCAAGTAAGTAATTTCCTTTTACTGCTATGGAGTTAATTTGAGTGTGTGTGTGGGGTGGGGGGGATATAATTAAAAAAAAAAAAAAAAGCCAACCAACCCTAGTTGTATAAACTACACTGTGTACTGAGCCCACTACAAGTTGATATCAGCATCACCATCTCTGAGATCTGTTATCTGTGATAGAAACAGCTGTTGTACCTAATGAAAACACTTGAAATTTCCATCCGAAGCAGCAGAATTATAGCAGCCCTTTCTACTTGCACGTGGTTAAAAGGTCTGACAGCATCCTCATTACCTAACACAATTTCAGAGCCCTCCTTGATTATGAATCTATAAAAAGCCCATCAAGATGAAATCTGATTCATGAGTACTGACCGCCTGTCTACACTTTGTTTTCCTTTGAGTTTTCCCTAAGAAGCCAGAAGGAGAAAAGAGACAATTGTATTTTTCCCTAACTCTTCAAGACTAAAATAGATCCTTTAAAGAGTTTTAGAAAAGTGACTGTTGTTTTGAGTTATTTTTGCAGAATATTTCCTTTCGATTAATTAATCCAAGGACTAGACAGCTTGCCTTAGTTGTAAAAGTATAAAAATAAGCAGAATATGGGACAAAAAAGAAGAACACAATTCTCTGTGTTTGAGAGACCTGGATCACAAAGTCTTTAATCAAGGACAGCACAGATGGAATGTTGTTGTAATTGCTGTTGTTGTTAAGTGCCGTTGAGTTGTAGACGACCCACAACAACCCTATGAATGAAAGATCTGAGCACTGTTCAGAGTTTCTGGAGGTAAGCTGTTTCAGAAGCGGATGCCACTCCTGCTTCCGAGCTTGTTTTAATCGGTGAGCTCCACCTGACACTGTCCACCGTGGGTGACCATTATCATGAGGTACCATCAAGTCGATTATGACTCCTTCCAACCCTATCAACAACAGATCTGAACGTAGCCCTAACCACTGCCATCACCGCCATCCTCACGATTTCTCATACGCTCGAGCCCATTGTTACAGTCAATTCTTCTTCTATAGTTGGATTCCATTTCTATAACAAGAGCAATACATTTTTTAAAAAACTGATACAACTCCGTTTCCTTAATAACCCCGTTGACACACAGCTCATTCATTCACACCCACACTCATCAGACGTTTTCTGAGCATTGCCTCTGAGGTGGACCATCTCTTAGACTCCGAGGCCTTGTCAGGAGAAAGCGGTTCCTTTGTGATGTTTGTCTTCTACGACCGTGAGGTAGTTAATCAACTGCATAAGCAAACATGGACTATGTTACAAGGTAGTAAGTGCCGTGGGGGCATGGGGGGCCGGGAAGAAAAATGGAATGTGTCCGTTAATTGCAACCGCAGCAGAATGGTCAAGGGAGGATTCCCTGAGAAGGTGACACTGGAGCAAGACTGGAAAGAAATGAGGGCGGAAGCCACGCACGTGGTTTACTTAGAGGGTAGGTAAAGGACAGCAAACAGGTAGCCCTGAGACGGGAGCGTGCCGGGTATGGACAAAGATGAGCGAGGGGCTAATAAAATCAGAATCCGTAAATGGGGAATAGGAAGAGATAACAGGAGAGAGGTGAGAGAGGCACTGGAAACTGGGGGACCTTTCTGTTTGACAGAGTGACAAAGCTATTCAAAGTTCTTAAACAAAATACCAATGTAATCTTTTTCTTCTTCTTATTATTATTATTATTTCATACTGGTTTACTTGCAAAGTTTGTGTTATTTTTTTTAAAAAAAGATACTCTAAGCTTCTCTGAAGCACTTGCTGCAGAGTGTCAAGGACTGCGACCTCCAATATGGATTGAGGCTCAATGTCAAGAAGACAAAGATTCTCACCACTGAACCAATTGACAGCATCAGGATGGATGGTGAAGAGATTGAGATTGTACACAGCTTTAGTTTGCTTGGCTCCACAGTCAACACTCTTGGCACCAGCAGCCAGGAAATTAAAAGACATATTGTGATGGGAAAGTCTGCTCTTAGGGACCTCTCCAAAGTACTGAAGAGCAATGGTGTCTTTCTGGAGACTAAGGTGCATCTGATACAGGCCATGGTCTTCGCAATCACTTGTTATGCATCAGAGAGTTGGACAATGACCAAGGAGGATAGAAGGAGAATTGATGCCTTTGAGCTGTGGTGCTGGAGAAGAGTATTGAGGGTACCATAGACTGCTAGGAAAACAAACAGATTTGTCCTGGAGAGGGTTAAACCGGGTGGCTCCTTGGAGGCAAGGATTCTGAGGTTCCATCTAACATAGTCTGGACATGTTGTAAGGAGAGACCGGTCCTTGGAGAAGAACATCATGCTTGGGAGGGTGGAGGGACAGCGCAGGAGGGGAAGGCCCTCTCTGAGGTGGATTGATTCAGTGACTGGCGTAAGCAGGGCAGGTATGTTGGAGACAGTGAAGTTGGTGCAGGACAGAGCAGGGTTTCGGGCTGGTGTACATAGGGTAGCTATGAGTCACAAGTGACTCGACAGCACATAACAACAACAACAACCATATGATCAAGAATGATGGCAATGAAGGAAGAATTCCAACCTGAACTGAAGGCATTGACATAAAATAAGGCTGTAGGAATCTATGGGATTTCAACTGACAGGTTTCAAATGACAGAAGCCGTCCTGAATGTGTTTACCAGCCTAAAGAAATTTAGAGGCCAGTTGTCTGCCTGACCAACTGGAAGAGGTCCATATTTGCTGCCATTCCCAAGAAAGGTAATCCAACAGAATCTGGAAATTGTCAAACAGTATCATTAATATCACATGCAAGCAAAATCCTGCTGAAGAGCATGCAAAAATGACTAGAACAATACGCAGACTGTTCTCACTAAAGAGAATTGTCAGAAATTCAAGCTAGATTTAGAAGAGGTCCTGGCACCAGTTGTATCATTGCTGATGTAATATGATCTTGA